GTGTGTGTGTGTGTGTGTGTGTGTGTGTGTGTGTATTTTGTGTCATGAGGCTTGCACTGCCCCTGAGCGTTTCTTTTCCTTGCACGGCTAGCACTCTAACACTTGAGCCACTTACAGCTTTTTGGTAGTTAATTAGCTCAGACACTCATGACCTTTCCTGCCTAGGCTGGCTTTGAACCAAGATCCTCTTATCTCAGTGTTTCAAGTAGCTAGGATTATAGGCATGAGCCACCGCACCTGCTATAAAGCTCTTGTAGCCATCAGTGGCTACCAATGCACAAAGAGAAGCTTCTACGTGAAAGTGGCCATGCAGTGGATTACCTGAACCTTCACCAACCCCACCCTCAGCACATTCAGCACACAACACTCATACACTGGAAACCAGACTCCAGTTAGATTAATGCTCTGAGTAAATAGGAGAATCTGGCATTGAGCCATGTACCCAGTCCAGTGTGGAGAAACTGCACAGCTCTGACACTACCCCGTCCTGCCTGAACACTAAGAAAACGTCAACTAAAAACCGTAAGTAATTAACACATCCAACCAATGACCTGTTCTTAGATGTAGAAAACCTCAGCACAGAAACAAAGGAAATATTAAAGTATAAGACAACATTAACTCTTGAAAATAATCAACAATCCCATAGAATAGAATAGAATCCAAAAATAGTGAAGTGTACGAAAGCCAAAAGAATTCTTAGAGCCAGGGACCAGTGTCTCAAACCTGTAATTCTAGCTACTCAGGAGGCTGAGATTTGAGGATCCTAGTTCAAAGCCAGCCCAGGCAGGAAAGTTTATGAGACTTTTATCTCCAATTAACCACCAGAAAACTGGGAGTGGTGCTGTGATTCAAAGTGGTAGAGGCTAGCCTTGAGCAAAAAAGCTCAGAGACAGAGCCCAGGCCCAGAGTTCAAGCACTAGGATCCACCAAAAACAAAACCCCAAAAATTCTTAGAACAGTAATTGACAAAATTGAAGAGGCATGTATTCAAAGCAAATATAAATAAATTGCTGAATTAAAAAAGAAAAAAAAACAGTGTGGGATTCTAAAGAATTCAATAAAAATATAGAAATCATGAAAAAAATCAAATCAAAATTTAGAAGTGAAATATAATAAGCAAAAAATCAGATGAAACATTCAAAACAGATGAGATCAAGTAGAAGACACATTATCAGGGCTCATGGACAAGGTAAATGAATAAAAACATTCAAGAAGGGGTTGGGAAGGTGGCTCAGTGGTAGAGTGCTTGCCTTGCACGCATGAGGCCCTGGGTTCGATTCCTCAGCACCACATAAGCAAAAAAGAAAAAAGCCGGAAGTGGCGCTGTGGCTCAAGTGGTAGAGCGCTAGCCTTGAGCTGAAGAGCTGAGGGACAGCGCCCAGGCCCAGAGTTCAGGCCCTATGACCGGACCCAAAAACAAACCAACCAACAAACAAAAAACATTCAAGAAGTAACAAAAAAGTATGTATATACAGAAAATCTCTGAAATACAATGAAAGGGGGAATTTTATATCTGTGACTATCTACATTAAAAAATCAAGGCATTCTCAAGCAATTTAATGATGCACCTCAAGCTCATAGAAAAATAAGGATAATCAAAACTCCAAAGCGGCAGGTAGAACAAAATAATAAAGCTCAGGGTTGATATTAATGTAATGGAACATGAAAAACCCATGTGCTAGTAGCTTACACCTACCTACTTGGAAGGCTGAGACCTACAGGGCTGAGGTTCAAGACCAGTCCATGCAAAAAAAGTCTCTGAGACTTCATTTCCACTTAACTAGCAAACTGCTGGTCTAGGATCATCAACAAGGAACTAAATAATTGCAGATGCTGGTGGGAATGCAAATTCGTTCAGTCCCTTTGGTAATCCGTATGGAGGTTCCTCAAAAAATTAAAAACGGAACTGTTATGTGATCTAATCATGCCACTTCTGGGTATATAATTCTCTGCCCCAACTCTAAATCAAGTTACCGTGTAGACACCTACACACTCAGATGATGATGGCACTGTTCATAAATTGTGGGTTAGCCTAGATACCAATTGAAAGGTGAATGGATAAAGAAAGAGGTATAAATACATGATTTTTTTTTGTTTGTTTTAGTTTTTTTGGGGTGCTGCCCCTGAACTTTTGAGCTCAAGGATTAGTGCTCTACTGCTTGAGCCACAGCTGAGGCTTGTAGGTGATTAATTGAAGGTAAAAATCTAGACTCTCACAGACTTTTCTGCTCAGGCTGGCTTGAACCAGAATCCTCAAATCTCTGCCTCCTGAGTAGCTAGGATTACAAGCGAGAGCCACTGTTGCCTGGCTTCACAATGGAGTTTTACTCAGCCATTAAGCAGATGAGAATTCTATACTTGGGTGGAAAATGGGTGGAACTGGAAAACATCATGTTAAGTGAAGTAAGCCAGTCTCACAAAGACTAGTATAACATGGCTTCCCGCATTTATGGAAGCAAGAGGAAAATAAAATAAAAAAGCCAAGAGCATAAAAATAAAATTGGATTACCACGAAGGTTAATAGGAAAGGCAAAGTGGAAAGGTGAGCGGTGGGGAAAGAACAGAGGAGGTAAATATGATCAAAATACTTTTGTGCATGAAACTTTTCTGTGTGGAAACCCTGTATTATGCGCGATTTAATTATATGCTAATTAAAAAGGAAAATTAAAAAGGGGAAAATAGCAGCACAGACTTTCTGCATAGAAATCATGAGATGAACTCAACAGTTGGGGGCCACTGTATGTTCCTGGGAACATATGCTACTTTTGGAAGGTGCTATGAGCAAGCCTGCACGAGCATTTGTGTGTGTGTGTGTGTGAGTTTTCAGTTGTTTTGGGTACAGCTCCAGGTGTGTCTATCCAAAACACAGTATCATATGGCACTGCACTCAGATGTTGTGTCGTATGGCAATTCTCTTTTTCTTTTTAAGGGAACGTCCAAACCGTTTTCCAAATCAGCTGCAATGGAATAAGGGCTCTAATTTCTCTATATCCACACAGACATACTTTCTATTTGAGTTTTTGTTTTTTAACTCATTATAGTAGTTCTAATGGGTATAAAGTGATAAAGTGGTATCTCACTGTGGCTTTGATTTGCCTTTCTCTGATAACTAGTAATGTTGAGTATCTTTTCAGGTGCTTGTGGGTCATTTATATATCTTCCTTGGGGACGTGTGTGTATGTATGTGTATATATGTGTATGTGTGTGTGTGTACATACACATGTATACACACAGCCTCTTGAGTAGCTAGGATTATAGGCATGAGCCACTGGCATCTGGCTTAATTTTTTTTCTTAATATGAACACAGGAATGAAATTGTAGCATTAGTTTTGAAAATTCATTACTCTTGCTTCCATACTGACTTTCTGAGAATAGAATTTAGATTATTAAAAAGCTTTTCTTATCTGAGCCCATTCTTACAGTGGAATAGTGCAAACTTCATATCATTAGCAGAGCTCTATGGCTATTTTATAAGGCTGCAGGGTCAAAAATGGACAGAGCAACCTAGGTGCTTGGGCTCAAACCTGTAACTCTATTTATTGAAAAGGCTGAGTTCTGAGGATCAGGGTTCAAATCTAGCTCAGGAAGACAAGTCCACATGACTCTGGTCTTCAATTAACCAGCAAAAAGCTGGAAGTGGAGCTGTGGCTCAAGTAGTAGAGCATGAGCCTTGAGCTGAATGAAAAAGCTGAAAGTGCTTAAGGCTGGTGCTCTACCAGTTGAGCTACATTTCTACTTCTGTCTTTTTGTTGTTTAATCAGAGATTAAGAGTCTTATAAATCTTCCTGCTCAGGCTAGCTTCAAACTGAAATTCCCACATCTCAGTCTCCAAAGTAGCTGTGGTTATAGGTGTGAGCTATGGGCTCCTTACATGTAAGATTTTATTTCAAGAAATATATGATCAAATTTAAAATTAAATGATCAGTTATATTTATAATTATCAGTGTTATAAATCATACTTTGCCTCAAATTATGTGTTTTTGTTGTGAATAATTTGGACTAAGCCATTTTACTTGTTCTCCTTTATACTTTTCAATTAGGGGCCTGGGAAGGTGGCTCAGTGGTAGAGCGCATGCCTTGCATGCCAGAGGCCCTGGGTTCGATTCCTCAGTACCACATAAGAAAAAAAGAAGGGGCTGGGAAGGTGGCTCAGTGGTAGAGCGCTTGCCTTGCATGCATGAGGCCCTGGGTTCGATTCCTCAGCACCACATAAGCAGAAAGAAAAAAAAGAAAAAAGAAAAAAAGAAAAAAGCCGGAAGTGGCGCTGTGGCTCAAGTGGTAGAGCACTAGCCTTGAGCTGAAGAGCTGAGGGACAGCGCCCAGGCCCAGAGTTCTGGCCCCATGACCAGACCCCCAAAAAAAAAACAAAAAAACTTTTCAATTAGCAGATGTTTCTTTTTGCTTACATAATTCGTAAAAGTGTCCTGATAAAGACATTCTGTGTGTTTCTCAGAAGAGCATTTAGGAAGAGCTAAGCCATATATTACAGGAGCCGCCCATCCTGTGCTACAGTTTACTTTATGTGTTCTTATTCTGGGTGACTGAAGAACTATAGACAGTAGGCATTCCTTCCATGAATAGCCATTTTTGATCAATTAATTTTTTTTGTTATTGTTCTAGTAACAAGCATTCAAGGCTGAAGCTCTACCACTTGAGCCATGCCTCCAGTCTGGCATTTTGATGGTTAATTAGATAGGAATCTCACAGACTTTTCTTCCCAGGCTGGCTTCAGATCTCAGCTTCCTGGGTAGCTAGGATTACAGGCCTAAGTCACCAGTGCCTGGCTACCAGGCAGTTTTTTATGTTTAAGTAAACCCTTCTTTCTGTACATCCCAAGTTATGCATTTTCCAGTAACATCAAGTAAGAATTTTAAATATAGAGGAAAGAGTTAAGGGCTGGTGGCATGACTCAAATAGTAGAGCACCAGATGAGCAAGTAAGCACAAGGTCCTGAGTTCAAACTCTGGTACTGGTTAAAAGAAAAAAAAAGAAAAATAGATAAAGGTCATAAAAAATAAATTTATAACTATTACTGACACTCTGTCCATAATAAAACAAATAATATAAACTACAAGAACTGGGGCCTGATGAAATAAGAAATCCAGTGAAAACCAGTACACACTACACCCCTTGTGTAATTAGTCTAAAATTTCCACACACCCTGGACCATGGGCAGCAGATGCTGGGATTAGCACAAGAGAATCATGACAGGAGCCTCTGTATTCATTTTCTACTGTGGTGATAAATGACTACAAATTCAATAGCTTTATGCAACTTGATATCCAGCCCCACCTCTAATGGATCCGCACCCTGAAGATCTACCAAAGCAGCAATCTAGGTGTCACCAGGGCTGGGACATTATCTCAACGTTGCAGTACTCTTCCACGTTCTTGCAGGATTTTGGTGGAATGTAGTTCTTTGTGGCTGTACAAATATGGTCCCATTTGCTGACTGATGGCTCGATGGCAGCTCTTGCCTTCTAGAGATTGTTCTTACATTTTAGACAATGAGGTCTCTCACGACAGCTACTAACTTCTTCAGGGCTCATAGGAGCAAGTTCTCTAACTTCGGTTAGAGAATTCCTCAATTATGATACCCAAAGTCGGCTGATCAGGGCCCGTATTGTATGTGCAAAATCTTTTCACTCTTGTCAGGTGATATAATAATAGCCATCCATGGGTTTATCATTTGTGGATATCTTGTGGTACATGATTATTAAAATTAGTATATTGTGAACATGATCCTATAAATGACTGCAAAAAGATTTCGTTAGTGCATCCATAAATTTTTTGAGGGGTATGTGCTGGTATTGGAGCTTGAAGTAGGATACTGTCCCTTACCTTTTTTGCTCTGCTTCCATACTTTTTTGGTGGTTAATTGGAGTTAAGAGTCTTATGGATTTTCCTAACCGTGATCCTCAGATCTCACTCTCTGAAGTATCTTAAGATTATAGGTATGAGCCACCAGAGCCTGGCAAGGTCCATAAACTTTCAATGTATCTTTACTATGTACAAAGTGCTTGTATATATTTTGCATCATTTGGTTTTCATGACTGTTCATTAGGGAGGTACAGGAGATATTAGTCCAATGCTAAAAGGGGGAAATAAATCTAAAGGCTGAAAGCAGCAGAGTCTGATCAAAGCTTTGTAGCAGATGAATAGGATCCACCTGGTTTCAAGCTTGGGTCTTTCCCTCCTCTAGCCCAGTGTTCTTTGTGTTTTCTAACTGTGTTTGGTGCTGTTTGAAGGAGATATTTCAGGCCTTATTGTGGGCACAGAGGTGGACATGCCTAGGTCTCTATATGCTACAGCTTCTTTCACTGGTTATGTTGCAGGATGAGCAATTGAAGAATTGCTGCATTTTGCTAAGAACATTAAGGAAATAAAAACAGTTGTAAAAATAGGTCAGAGTGCTGTTCATAAAAAAAAAAAAATCCAAGAGCTTATTCCGATGGTTTTAAGAAGCTGTCGTCTCTTGTAGCAGTTGTTGAACCTTTTTTTGTGGAAAGAAACAGAACAAATAAAAGAACATTATACACTGGGCTTAAAATGAACCCCTGGGAAAAATGATGAGCCCCTCCCCCCTCAGTTTTTATTGATTAATTTTCATACCAGTACCAGCACTGATGCTGGGACTCAGGACTTCCTGCTCTCAGTTGGGCTTTTTCTTGCTCAAGGTTGGCACTCTATCACTTGGGCCACAGATCTACTTCTGGGCTTTTTTTTCTGGTTAATTAGAGATAAGAGTCTCATGGACCTTCCTGTCAAGGCCGGTTTCCTCAGAGTAGCTAGGATTACAGACGTGAGCTACACACCCAGTAACTACAAGAAATTCAAACCTTCTTAATGTCTGGCCTCTTGTTTTTCTTTTCATGCAGACACAGACTGGCGGCAGTGTACATGGTCTCAATGGAAGAGGGGTCAGTGTCACTCATCTTTGTGTCAACATAGTCTCCAATTGTCTTCTCTTCATCTTCGATTTCTTCCTTAATATCTAGCTTTAAAATGAGCATTAAAACTTCGTTAGGAGTTTCAAATGACAGTAAAAGAACAGGACATACATTTTAATTATTTCAAGTACTTTGTGATAAGATATATTTCCTTCTCACTATCTACTTTTTATTACCTTATTAAGAATTGAAGACATACAAAACAAATTTTACTATAGAAACACATACATATATGTATATACATTTGTATATATGTATATATGCATATATATGCATATATATTTATACACACACATATATATGGTTTATACCCCTATATTTTTCAACCATTTGCCTTGTGGCTTTTGCATTTATGCCATTAGCTAACGGCTCACATGAATGATGTTCCCTGGGCTGCTAGCCCAGGGATGTGCTTCTTGATGTACTTTTGATGGTGCCATTCCAACTTCTGGACCCAGATCCCCTCCCTGCACCTGAAAAGTTTCCTTGTAAGTACTCAGATTGCTGATTCAAAGAAGAAAAGAGGAGAAACAAAGTGACAAGGCAGGATAAAAGAGCAATGAACTAGCTAGGTGCTGGCGCTCATGCCTGTAATCCTAGCTGCTCAGGAGGTTCAGATCTGAGGACCACAGTTCAAAACCAGCCTGGGCAGGAAAGTCTGTGAAACTCTTATCTCAAATTAATCACAGAAAAAAGGTGGAAGTGATACTATGGCTCAAGTAGCAGAGCACTAGCTTTGAGCAAGAAGGAGTTTAGGGACAGTGCCCAGGCCTACACTGACACATACACACACACACACACACACACACACACACACACAGACAAGATGAATTGGGAGAGAAGGGTAGGAGAAGGTAGTACACTGGGTTGAATGGTGGCTTTAGAAATATATATCTGTGTCCTAATTACTGGGATGTCCGAATGTCACCTAATCTGGAAGGAAACATCTTCATAGTTATAGCTGCATATCCTGGGATGGACGCATCCTGGATTATCCAGGTGCATTGTAAATCCTAGGATAAATGTCTTCATATCAGACAAAAAAAAAAGGAAGAAGACACAGTGAAGACCATGTGACAGGAAGGCAGAGACTGTTATGATGGGCCACAAAAGAAAGAATTCCACCTAAAACCACCAGAATCCAGAGGAGGGAAGGAAGGGTTCTCCCCTGGATTTGAATAGGGGATGGGCCTTCCTGGCATCTTAACTTGAGATTTCTGGTCTCCAGAGCTTGAGAGAATCACTTCGGTCACCTCAACCCACATTCTCCATGGCAATCTGATCTTCTGTGTGTGCTGATGATTGAACTCAGGGCCTCACATTCTTGCTTGGCTTTCTCACTCACAATGAGTACTCTATCACTTGAAACACAATGCCAGTTCTGTTTCTTTTTGCTGGCTTAACTGGAGATAAAAGTCTGATAGATTTGTCTGCCCGGGCTGGCTTTGAACTGTGATCATCAGATCGCAGCCTCCTGAGTAGCTAAGGTTATAGGCGTGAGACACCAGTGCCTTGACTTTGGGATTTTTTTTTTTAATGGGAGCTATTTTTTTTTTAAGGAAACGAATACAATGATGGAAACAATTATTTATGAGTTGAAATTTAAAGGTGAATTTAAAGAGTGCTTAGACCATGGCACAATCTAGTAATATAAAGGTGTCCTGAAGGATCTTAGCTTTATTTATATTAAAAACCATATTACTTTATACTCATACCACAGTCAAATCTTTCAAATGTATGAGAGTATTATCTGTGGAGAGAGATGCTTCTTTTTTTTTGTACCTCATCCTTACTCAAGTCAGTTTCAGGCTTTCATATACTCTGAAGGGCATGTCTATCTTAGGAAATGGGACGGAAAATCCAGATCTTTATACAGGTGGGTCTTGAAAAAATATAAGCTACAACTTGGTGAAACAAAATGGTAGCATCTTGTCTTCATCTCTGAGACTTCTGCTATCTTCTTCCTGGTTCTCCTGCGTCGTTTATTTTTGTTTTTATTTTGCAGATTTAGGGGTCCAACTCAGGGCCTCCTACAAACTAGGCAAAAGTTCTACCACTGAGCTACAACCTCAAACTCCTATGTTTGTTTTTTGTTTATGTTATGCTGGTCTGGGTGTTGTCCTTGAGCTTTTTTGCTTAAGGCTAGCACTCTAACATGTAAGCCACAGCTCCACTTTGTCTTTTTGGCAGTTTGTTGGAGATAAGGGTCTCCTGCTTGGGTTGGCTTCTAATTGTGATCCTCAGATCTCAGCCTCCTGAGAAGCTTGGGTTACAGGTGTGAGCCAGGGTGCCCAGCTATACAACTTCTAAGTAGTCCTTCAGCCAGCAGAGATTTCTTCCTGTAGATAGCACCCTTCAAGCTCCACCTCTCTTCTGAGTGCTGGTGCTCTACCACTTGAGCCATCCCTTCACTTAAAAGGCTTTTGGGTAGCTAACTGGAGATAAGAGTGTCACAGACTTTCCTGCCTAGGCCCATTTTATACCATGATCCTCCGATCTCAGCCTTCTGAAAAGCTAGGATTAAAGGTAGGAGCCACCAGCCCCTAACTCATGGCAGAGCTTCAATTGGAAATATTGACTTTTATCTTTTTTTGTCGGTCATGGGACTTGAATTCTGGGCCTGGGAGCTGTCCCTGAGCTCTTCAGCTCAAGGCTAGCACTCTACAACCTGAGCCACAGCGCCACTTCCTAGAAATATTTAATATCCTTTCCCTATGCCATTATATAGTGCCAGAGAAAACACTGCCCATAGAAAATGCAATTTCTAGGTGCCAAATATAATTTTATACATTTTAGACTATAAATGCAAAGAGGAAAGGACTGAAAAGAAAACAAATGTATCACTTACTAATAACTGAGGTTCGCGATGTTCATCCACAGCTGGAAGTCCAGTTATTATTTCTAGTAAAACCTATGAAGACCAAAAAGATCCATTAGTATAACAGGAAGACAATATAATAGAAGGAATATGGATCTGATTGATGAACATGGCATTTCTCATCTCTTTTCCTTCATGAATGCTTTGAGTCCATGTTAGCCATGACCATTTTTTTCTATTGACAACTTGTTAAAAAAAAACAAAAAAACTAGCTCTACCAAACGTGTGTCTGGGAACTTCCATATCTATCCATTTCTATCCATTTCTTTTAGAGGCTGTGTGTGTGTGTGAGTGTGTGAGTGTACTGGGACTTGAACTCAAGGCCTGGGTTCTGTACTTGAACTTTTTCCATCAAGGTTGGTGCCCTACCACTTAAGCCACACCACCATACCTCACTTCTGGCATTCTGGTAGCTAATTGGAGATAAGAGTCTCATGGACTTTCCTGCCTGGACTGGCTTTGGGTCATGATACTCAGAACTCGGCCTCCTGAGCAGCTTGAGTACAGGAGTGTCAGGGGATTCTTCACAAGCATTTTCTTTGGAGAATAGTACTTTATAAATATTAGGACTATTTTACAATCCTATGTCTTAAGTGCCATGAAGCTACATTTTCATCTAAGAAATATATTTGAAAAAGACAGATGATCACAAATAAGACCATACTAAAGCTACCAGCACAGCTATGTTTATTGCAGCATTATTTACCATAGCTCAGATATGGAACCAACCCAGATGCCCCTCAGTAGATGAATGGATCAAGAAAATATGGTATATATACACAATGGAATTCTATGCCTCCATCAGAAAGAATGATCATTGCCCCATTTGTTAGGAAATGGAAAGACTTGGAAAAAATTATATTAAGTGAAGTTAGCCAGGCCCAAAGAAACATAGGTCCCAGGGTTTCCCTTATTTGCAATATCTAGTGTATGTCTGAGTCAAGCAGAAAAGGTCAGATAAGTTGTTGTTAGGTGAAATGAACCCCAAGATAAGGACTCAAATGTTTTTTTCTTTCTTGCTATGGTTTCTAACATATTTGTAAGATATGTCTTTGTTGCTTTGTATGACCTTCCCCCACGGTATAACCCGTTTTCACTGTATTTGATGTTGGTATAATGTGCGGAAGGGAAGGGAAAAAACAAATTGTTTAATAGGGATACAGGTGGACCCATTGCAACAATGAGATGTACAAGATGTTATGTCGAAAAACAAACTTTACAACTTTGGCCTAGGAACAGGAGGGTGAGGGGGGAGAGGGTGAGGGGGTTGGAGGAGATGGGAAGGGATGGGAAGGGGAAACAAAGGAGGAGGTAACAATGCTTGATAAGAAATGTACTCATTATCTTGCCCATGTAATTGTAACCCCTCTGAATGGTATTTTCACACACACACACACAAAAAAGACAGAAGAAAGACCAACCTAGTTTCTCTGACAACTCATTCTATACCCTCTACTCTGTCTTAAAAATTATTAGGAAGCCAGAGATTGTTGGCTCACATCTGTAGTCCTAGCTATTCAGGAGGCTAACATCTGAGGATTTCATCCATGATCTGAGGATCGTGGAAACTAGCCTGGGCAAGAAAGAATATGAGACTCTTTCCTCCAATTAACCACCACAAACCCAGAAGTGGAGCTGTGGTTCAAGTGTAGAGCACTACCCTTGAACAGAAAAAGCTGAGGTGGGGGGGTGGGGTGCTCAGGCCCTGAGTTCAAACCTCAGTACTGGTACACACACACACACACACACACACACACACACACACACGGAACAGACTATTAGATCAGACAATGCCAAAAAGTGGGAGATGAAAGTCCATATTATATGACACTGACTTGCACACTGACTTAATTTAAGCTCCAGCATAATTCATGGCAAGGAAATAACTTCTCACAGTAATTTAGAAAATCAACTATGATGCAGGTTAATGTGCATAGTTTATATCTTTATGCAAGCCAACTAAGCAAGACAGGCATGTTAAAATACTCTTTCAATTTCACAGCTGTGGAAGAATGATTCTTGTGTGTAACTTACCACACCGAAGCTGTATATGTCAGATTTGGGAGTTATTTCTCCTCGCAGTGCCTCAGGTGCCATGTACGCTGTTGTGCCCACAATTCTGCTAGTCACGACTGTCTGGGAAAACTTCTCAGAGGCACGTGCAAGGCCAAAGTCAGATATTTTGGCAGTAAAGTCTTTATCTAGCAAGATATTTGCACTGGAAAAAATAGTCAAATTTGGAGAAAGCAGTGTTTTTCTTCCCAAGAAAGTCACAGTTGTTTAGATACATATGTTTAGATATGACTGAATGAACATACATATCTGTGCACACACATATATACACATATGTATACACACACATATATATTAGCACGCATGCTAATAGCATTTCCCTCTTTAAGCACATTTTTATGTGCTTGGAATTTTGTAATCTTTAGTCATTTTGAAGATAATATATAACAGATTATTGTCATGTATCCCTACCCTACTGTCCTGAGGAAGATTCTGAATTCTTCCACTTTGTTTTGGTGCCCTATTGAACTTCTTTCTGATTCTGCTCCCCTCCCTCTTCCTAGTCTGAGGTAAACATGCTTCCCTTCCAAAGGTTCTTCCATAAGATTAACTCATACCTTTCTACCAGTGAGGGACAACATGCCACATCTGTCCTTCTGTATCTGGGTTTGAAACAAGTTAAAAAGTATTTTTCCTCATTCCATTCCTAACACCTCTCAATTCATTTACAAACCAGAGTACATCAATCATTCATTTACAAACTCAAGTACATCAATCATTCATTTACAAATTCAAGTACATCAGTCATTCATTTACAAACTCAAGTACAGCAAGCATTCATTTCTTGAAGCCATTCGTTTGTATTAGGTTACCTGAAATCCTGGCAAAATTAAGGCTATATCTTTTTTCTTTCTTTTTCATTTTTTGATGCTGATACTGGGGCTTGAACTCAGGGCCTAGGTGCTATCCCTTAGTTATTTTGTTAAGGTTGGTGTCCTACCACTTGAATGACAGCTTCCCTTCTGGTATTTTGCTGGTTCACTGGAGATATGACTCTCACAGACTTTCTTGCATGGGCTGGCTCCGAACTTTGCTCCTCCTTCAATCTTAGCCTCTTGAGTAGCAAGCATTACAGGTGTGTAATGCTGGTGCCTGGCCATCATGCTGAATTCTTATTATAATTTTCTATGGTATCTCCTTATACTTATGATCAAAGTAAAATGTTTGCCTGGGTCTACCAGGAACCACAGGACTTGATTTCTTGCATACTTTTTTGATTTTCTCATCTGTCTTACTCATGCAGTCATACTGAATTTACCTCACTTCCCCTAATTCATTATGCATCCATCCTCTCTCCTGACACCATTCTTACAAATGTGGTTCCTTCTGCTTGGACTGTTCCTCTTTCCATCCATCTTCTTTCTATAGCTTCCTTCAAATATACTCCCTTATTTCCTGCACACTCTCTTGGTCTCGGCATAACTCTCTTGGGAAACCTTCTTTATATTTATATTAACTACAACATTAGATACCAAAATTTGACTACGATTTTGTGATTGATCAGTGCTAAATTTGACATATGCTACTTTTCGTTAATTAAATCATGTGCAGTGCCTAGGCCCCAGCAGGAAAATATTTAACTAGATAAATACATAAGAATAAAGGGAACTGACATTGTACCATCTGTAAAGAGATGGAAAGACTTGGAGAAAAATTATGTTAAGTGAAGTTAAGCCAGGCCCAGAGAGACAGAGGATCCATGTTTTCCTTTATATCACTGGGTGGTATTCAAGTGTATGAAATGTATTAACTGAAATACAGTAGCTTCAAAAGAGATCTCAAGTAGTGTAAATCCTTACAAAGCCCAAATCAAAGTTCAACAAAATAAAACATCAGGAAGCAGGTATTTGAAAGAAGTGGGGAGTTGAGGGCCAAGGGTAGAAAAATGAAGGGGAGAAGAGGTGGGGAAAACACAGACAAGAATCTAAGGCATATCCTACAAAATTAAGAAGAGTGAGGGAAAAGGTGGGTAGGGGAGGGATGGGTGAGAATGTTGAAAGCGGTGACACTGATCCAGACATATTTATACACTGCTTTGTTAAGTAGCAACTCCTTTGTACAACTACTTAAAGATAATAATTATAAAGAGAAATAAAGAGAAACATACTCATGAAGGACGAAGGTGAGTAAAAATAGAATAGTGATCTTAGAACCAAGAAGTCAATCTAATTTCCATAAGGTGAATGTGGTCAAAAGAAATGGAGTGACATGGTTCCACAAAAAGAAAAAAAATGTCAAATAGAGTGAATACTGGAAATAGGCCACTGGGTTTGGCATAAAGGAGAGGAGAACTGTTTAGTGGGAAGACTTCCTTCATGGAGTGAGGGGGAAAAATCACCTAGCCCTCTAGGTTGAGACCTGCATGTCAACAGTGAACAAAAAGAGAGCAAGTGATTCTTCAAAGATGGCTTTCCAGAAGCTTTTTCATATTAATGTTTACCTTTTAATATCTCTATGAATGTGGTGGTTGTCGTGTAAAAAACGGATACCATTAGCTGCCCCCTGAGCAATCTTGCATCTCAAGTGCCAGGAAAGTGGTGCAGTGCCATCCTTAGGAAGAGACACACCAATTTGAAAAAAGGAGAATAACACATATGTAGGAAATATACAAAAGACTAATTTGCTAGGCAGCCACTGAAAATTGTATCACCAAGAATTCAGGATTATAGCTGGGCACCAGTGGCTCATGCCTGTAATCCTAGCTACTCAGGAGGCTGAGATCTGAGGATCATGGTTCAAAGCCAGCGTGGGCAGGAAAAGTCTGTGAGACTCTTATCTCCAATAAACCACTGGGAAACCGGAAGAGGCGCTGTGGCTCAAGCGGTGGAGCGCTCTCCTTGAGCTGAAGAGCTGAGGGACAGCGCCCAGGCCCAGAGTTCAAGCCCCACAATGGACAAAAAAAAAAAAAAGAATTCAGGATTATAATTTTTTAGGTTGTTAAAAAATGATCTCTAAATAAGATCAAATGGGGCTTAGCATTTCTTACTTGAAGATAAAATACATGTAAAGGCATCTTCAATGTCTATCCTTGATGGATAATTTTGTTTTAAATTACCATCTAAGAACTGACATAACTATAGATGCATTTGTATGTATATATATATATAAATACATGTAGGCATATACATACTTGTATATATATATGTACACACATACACGCATATATTTTATTTTGTGTGAGTTGGGACTGGGATTAGAAGGGAAGGCCTTACGTACTCCCTTTGCTTTTTCTATTCAATGCTGGTGTTATACCACTTGAGCCACACCTCTACTTCTAGCCTTTTGCTACTTAATTCGAGATAGGAGTCTCTTAGATTTCTCTGCCTGGGCTGGCTTAGAACCATGATCCTCAGATCTCCTGAGTAGCTAGTATCACATGCACAAACCACAGCACTGGGCTTTAACTACATATATTTATACAGAGCAGGAAAAATATTAAGTTTAACATAGCTTAAATGATCCTGTCAGAAAGTGAATATTTGCATTCCAAACTAGAAGCAGAAGTCCCGGCAACCTTGAATAATAGATATCTTACCAAACATGATAGTCTGTCTAGCAATGAACCGTTGGGCATGTAAACATATACCAAGCAGAGGTCATCACCTTCACTGGAGAATCCAAGCAATTCTACTAAGTTCTCATGCTGACACCTGCAACAAATGGTTTTCTATGCAAAATTATAATAGACAGTGATGCATTCAGTGGAAGAAGTTATTCAACTGAGAGTATTTACAGAAAATCAGATCAAAGAAAATATGTTACATATTCTTTATAATTCATGTTTATGTTTGTATATGTTTATTGTAAGCTAATATTTTTCTTTTCTTTTTTTTTTTTTTGGGTCCAGTTGTGGGCCTGAACTCTGGGCCTGGGCGCTGTCCCTCAGCTCTTCAGCTCAAGGCTAGCACTCTACCACTTGAGCCTCAGCGCCACTTCCGGCTTTTTTCTTTTTTCTTATGTGGTGCTGAGGAATTGAACCCAGCGCCTCAGGCATGCAAGGCAAGCGCTCTACCACTGAGCCAACTTCCCAGCCCCAATATAAACTAATATTTTTCTGTAACTAAGTTCTCTTTTCAGTAATACTGATTGACATTAGAAGCAAGATTCTCTATTTTATGGTCAATGGTCAATAATCCAGATCACCAGGATGGGAAACAGTTTGACTAAAGAGTAGGCTGATTCTTACCTGTGTTCAGCTCCACTTTCAATGACAGCATAAAATAGATTTCAAGAAGCTTGTTGAAACTTTGTAATACTTCTAAACATCTTTGCCTGTCAAAGTGAATATTTGTATTCCAAACCAGAAACAGAAAGCCTCAGTTCTTTTATGAATACTAACTTACCTAAGGGTCTCTTATTCTATAAACAGGTTTTTTGTTTTTGGTGCCAGTCCTGGGGCTTAAACTTGGAGCCTGGGCACTGTTCCTTAGCTTTTTTTTGCTCAAAGCTAGTGTGCTACCACTTGAGCCACAATTCTACTTCCTGCTTTTCAGTGGTTAATTGAAGCTAAGAGTCTCACAGACTTTTATGTCTGGGCTGGCTTCAAAGTGCAATCCTTAGATTCCAGTCTCCTGAGAAGCTAGGATTACAGGAGTCTTTCTAAGGTATTTCCACAATTGGTCTCTCATGAATTCTGGGAGCAAAATACCAGGATGTTGGAATAGCTGAAATTCCAGGTAACTTTGTTGTGATTTAAAATATTGACTGCGGCTTAATCTGGTTATAGAACTGAAGAGCACAGTATATAGTAATTTTTATGCTGTATTTGCAAATATCTACAGTTGATGACATATTTTGGTTAAGAAACCAGGTTCTTTATAATTGCTTTGTGCTTTTCCTCTCTATCACACTGCCACATTAGCACTTACTTTGCCATGACCTTTATTTCCTGGTCAAATTGTTGTTTCAGTTCTTCAGTACTAATGTCAACCATCTGAAAAGAAAATACAATGTAGTACATTGCAATAACCCCATGGCTCTTAAAGATAAAAGGAGGCTCATGAGATAATTGGCTGATTTGTTCTCATTGAAATAGTAAAGAAAGCTGGGTGCCAGTGGCTCACAACTTTAATCTGTCCTACTCAGGAGCCTGAGATGTGAGGATCACAGTTTGAAGGCAGACAGGCAGGAAAGTCCCTGATACTCTCTTATTCCTAATTAGCCAGTAAAAAAGTTGAAAACAGAAGTGTAGCTCAAGTGGTAGAGCACCAGCCTTGAGTGAAAAAACTGAGAACATGAGAACTTGAACTTCAAGCCTCAGTACCAGGAGACACACACAGACACATACACAACAGAAACAAGGCTATTTTCTCATTTTATAGAACAATTGGTATCTAGAAGTATTAGTGAGTTGCTCAAGGTCCAGAGTTTGTTAGTGAATAGAAAAAAAATCTCTTTGAATTATAACTACATTGCATAGAAACTTTGAAAATACTGTTTAATAGAAAATATAAGCAAATCTGAATGCAAGGACAAAATAAAACCTGCAAAAACATTTGTAATACACAAGTGCCTATACTATAACCATATGGAACTTTTGAGATTTTTCTGGATATAGCCCCACATTTAAAATATAACATGTAACTAAATAAAAAGTGAACACTGCAATAGAAATGAGAACAAAGGGCATAGACAAGAAAATTTTCAATACTTTCTTCTTCATGTGTATTTTCTAAGCTTTGTTTTTAAATGGGAAAATCAATGTAAACAAGTGTACGTGTGTGTACCTATATCTATACATATATACAAAATACTTTTAGTATTTTACCATTTAATCTATTTTGTGTGTGACAATACTGGTGTGTGGACTCAGGGTCTGTGTAATGTCCCTTACCACTTGAACCATAGTTCTACTTCTGGTGTTTTGCTGGTTAATTGGAGATAAGGTTCCCGTGGACTTTATGATCCTCAGATCCCAGACTCCTGAGTAGCGAAGATTACAAGTGTGAGCCACTGGCACCCAACACCATTTCAATCTTGATGCTGTATAAAGTACTATATGGAATAGGGCTTTCCCACTTGATTTAGTGAATATTTCTAAATTAAATGTGTGATCATATGTATATGTGTACAACTGTTACTCTCAGGCATGAAGTTCGTAAGTCTCAAAAGATCATCGGAGTTTTAAATGTTAAGAACTACCAGTTTAGAGAGCATGTATTTAAATAAAACATAGACCTCAGTAACAAACTTCATGAAGTTCATTAATAACCTTTGTGAAGGTTAATATAAAGTTTATTGCATGGAACCCTAGGAAGCAGCTCTTCCTTCAGTCTTTCACTTCTGAAGATAGAACTTACCGCTGCAAGCCTTTTCACTGCTACCGCTGTGTTGTTCACATAACCTTTATACACAACTCCGAATCCTCCCTCACCCATTTTACTGCCACCCATAGAAATGGGGCGTTCATCAAAATCATTTGTGACGCTCTTCAGTTCATAAAATGAAAAATTATGAAAACCTATAATGTCAAAAATGCAAAAAAATGGGCTTACGTAAAAATCAAATTGGTATCAATTCTGTATTTTCTCAATTTGAAGATACATGTACAAAATATATGTCAATATGTACGTACACACATATAATACATTTTATCCACATAAATCACAAATTTGGATAGTTTATATATATATCAAATTCACAAACTATTTACACATATATATCCAAATTATACACACACACATATATAAAATTGGATAAAGTCCAATCTCTACAATTGCATTTGTGTTTGTGTGTATATGTGTACCAATCCTGGGGCTTGAACTCATGGACGAGGTGCTATCTCTGAGCTTTTTTGCTCAAGCCTTGCACTCTACTACTTGAGCCACAGTTCCACTTCCAGCTCTTAGGTGATTAACCAGAGGTAGGAGTCTCAATGGATTTTTCTTCCTGAGCTGGCTTCGAACTGTGATCCTTAGAATCTCAGCCTCCTGAGTAACTAGAATTACAGTTATCAGCCACTGGTGCCCAGTGAGCATTTTTTTTTCCGGTTAGCATTTTTTAAAACTACTTATTTCTTTCTCAGCATATTTGCATGTCCTGCTGCCTGTAGTCACAGATAACTCCCTGATTAATGGAATGAAAAAGGTGCTTAATAAATTAGAAGGAAACCCCCACAAATCAGTCCTGTTAATGCCCCTGGTTGCTTCACAAGCAGGACAGATTTACTTTAAAGCAGTGATTTGTGTTCATAACGAATTCACTCATGGAAAAGACTAAAAAGGCTACTTACTTGGAATAAACAGGTAAGGATGATAATTAGGAAATTAACATATTGAAAATTTTAAAGGAAAGAAAGAAAATGCTACTTACGTATGTCACTGACTTCTACATTCTCATTCACTGAATTTGTGGAGTCCGGTGGCACATAGTTTTGTTCAAAATTTTGCAAAGGTATCACAGATATTTTTTCTTTTTCATAGAAAGGCATCTGTTTCTGTGGAACTGTTATTGCTTCTTTAGGATGGAGAATATTATCAGCTTTGGGAATAGCATCTGCAAAATAGAATAAAATGCAAGCTGAAAAGAATGAAAGAGACTCATGTTTCAGGTTTGTTTAGAGAAAAGGTAAGAACATGAATTGTTTCAAGCTGAGTGCTGGTGGCTCACATCTGTAAGCTCAGCTACCCAGGGACTGAGATCTGAGGATCGCAGTTCAAAGCCAACCCTGGCATGAAAGTCTGCGAGAGTCTTATCTCCAATTAAACACCAAAAGCCAAAAGTGTAGTTATAGCTCAGGTAGTAGAGTGTCAGCCTTTAGCAGAACAGCTTAGGGACAGTATCCAGACCCTGAGTTCAAGCCCCAGAATACACTTTCTCCCTGTCTTCTCTCTCTCTCTCTCTCTCTCTCACACACACACACACACACACACACACACACACACACACACACACACACACACACACACGCTTTTACTCTTGCTTTTATCCTTCTACTCTATTGATACCTTGCTCATACCCAGTTACCTGGCAATAAAAGACTTGCAGGAGCAAAAAACTCATTTTGGACCAAAAGATCCACAAGTTCTCCAACAGTGCAATTTGTGGTACCCCAGTCAAACAGTAATTCAGATGTGGGACTTTTCCCACTTTGAAGTAATGCCTCGAATCTCCTTAAAACAAATAAAAAGAAATAAAATTAGCACATGAAAACAGGAATTAATCCCCTCTGCTCCAGTTTAACTCACGGCATCATCCGTGGGATTAAAGGAAAGAGACAGCAAGATAACCTGCAAGAATTAACGAGATAGGAGATAGGCAAGAGCAGAAGACAGAGATAATAACAGAAAGTAGAGGTGTGACTCAAATAGCAGAACACTAGCCTGGAGTGAAAAAGACAAGCAAGAGTGCAGAGCCCTGAGTTCAAGTCCCAGTAAACACACACACACACACACACACACACACACACACACACACACACACACGTACATGGGGAATAGAGCAAAAACTGCAAAGAAAAATAGAAACCAGGCCAGGTACCTGTGGTTCATGCCTATAAACCTAGCTTCTCAGGAGGCTGAGATCTGAGGATTATGGTTCAAAGTCATTCCAAGCAGGAAAGGGTTTCATTTTCAATTAACCAGAAAAAAAAATCTGGAAATGGAGCTGTGGCTCATGTGGTAGAGCACTAGTCTTGAGCAAAAAAGCTCACGGATAGCTTCTAGACCCTGAGTTTTAGCCTGAGGACCAACATGCACACACATAACACACCCAACTAATCAACCAACCAACTAACGAAACCATCCCCAAAAGAAAACCATAAAAGGCTCATACTGTCTCTTCATAATACAGAGGTTGTTTTTAGACTTCACTTCAATATTAGACAGTTATTTACACCTTATCATTCCCATGATGTAAACATTTTAAAAAGAACGTTGAGTGTTACCTGATGTGAAACTGATTGTATCTTTCATCACCAGATGGCTTTTTAATGGCAACTGCTAATTTCTTCCATCCTTCTTGAGGGTCCATAAAATCTGACAGCTTCCTAATTAGTCCAACGTTCAAGTTCCGCACATATGTTGATGGGGTTATGGGTTTGTTCATCTTCCACTCCTGAAATACGAGGAATTCTCTGTTAAATTTTACAGTGGTTTCAGAGATGACATCTGCAAACTGATAGATCAATATTTGCTGTATTGTATGAAATGCTGGCAACTCATTATACCCTAAACAACAACAACAACAACAACAACAAACACTCCAAAGCCAACTACTTGGTTTCCTAAGACATTCAAATTTAACTTCATCTAATTGTCCTCTGAATTTGCTTTCTTTCCTCGTCTGTAAATATCAACTCACACTGAAGGACTTTGTTCTGATGCTGGTGTATGGGTGGACAGGGGCTTGAACTCTGGCTGGGTGTTGTCCTTCAGCTTTTTTTTTCCCCCTCAAGGCTATATAGCACTCTACTTGAGCCATTGATTCCCTTCCAGCTTCCTGAGAAGTTCATTGGAGATAACTGTCTCACTGACTTTCCTGCCCAGGCTGGCTTCAAACCATGATCCTCAGATCTCAGCCTCCTAGGTAGCTAGGATTATAGGCATGAACCAACCTAACATAATTCAGGTGGAAATTGAGAAATATAATAAAGTCAGTGTCAGCTTATGAAACCAAATGAGTTCCCAATCATATGTCTCTTCTCAAACAGACATACTATGGTGCCCCAGAGAAGAGGTCAAAATACTTTGGTCACAACAATCACTAAAGCTTTAAGACTGTACCTCCTTAGCACTCTGATCGGGGAGAAAAATGGTGATTCTAATATCTAAGAATTCTGAAATAGGGCTGGGAAGGTGGCTCAGTGGTAGAGCGCTTGCCTTGCATGCCTGAGGCCCTGGGTTTGATTCCTCAGCACCACATAAGCAAAAAGAAAAAAGCCAGAAGTGGCACCGTGGCTCAAGTGGTAGAGCGCTAGCCTTGAGCTGAAGAGCTGAGGGACAGCGCCCAGGCCCAGAGTTCAGGCCCCACGACCGGAACCCCCCCCCAAAAAAAATTCTGAAATAATTAAGATGACCATTTTTTTTTGTCTGTCTTGGTTATTCCTGGGGCCTGGGTGCTGCCCCTGAGCTGTTTTTGCTCAAGGCTAATACTCTGCCACTTGAGCCACAGCTCCACTTCTATCTTTTTTGCTGGTTAACTGGAGATTAAGAATCTCACAAACTTTCCTTACTTACCCAGGCAAGCTTTGAGCCATGATCCTTAGTTCTCAGCTTCCTGAGTAGCTAAGATAACAGGTGTGAGCCACCCATGGCTAGCAAATCACCAAGTGTAATAAAGCCTCATTTTGTCATGTAATAGGTGATCAAAAATTGAAATTATTATTTTCTGGCAGACTTTTCTTTAAACAAATGTGCAGTTATTTTTAAGCTTAGCTTCCAGAATACTGGAGAACTAGTATGTTACAAAATGAGATCTGAGAATATAATAAACTTTTTGGTAGTCTTATTTTGTCAAGCAAGACATTTTAAATATATTACTTTTTAAAATATATTGCTCATTTCTATTCATTCTCTGTAAAATATGCCAGATGACCATCAATATGTGGTTTTGAGTATCTCAACATCCTTTTTATGTAAAAAAGCTGATACCTTCCAGAGACTTTTTTCAGTGAGTATATGTGTTGATGTGCTATAAATTAAATATATATTTAAAATTTTTAAATAATTTTTAAAATGCCTAAACACACTAAAATATGTAACATCATTCACTCACTCCCATATTACTGGGTGTCTACTTTGTGCTAAATTGTAATCTGGGTCCCTAGACATAAGGCATTAGAAAAATTCGGGGAAAAAAAGATATAAACTCATGGAGCTTCTATTCTAATAGAGGAAGACAAGCAATAGCCAAATGAATGAGTTCTAGAGCAAGCTATATGACACAAAATGGAATGAAAAAAAAAGGACACTTTGGAGAGGATGCTAGACTAAGGAAGAGAAGCAGTAAGAGACTAATTAGAAAGGTACACTAATAATCCAGGTGAGAGGCACCAGAGGCTTGGACCAGAGCATAGTAGGGAGAAGGTGCAAAAGTCCTGGGACATTGGATGTTTTCTAAGGTACTGCCAACAGAATCCTCTGTGCTGATGTGGAGACTGGAAAGATGGGACTAAGTCTTTTTAACATGAACAGATTTCCTAAGTATTTAGATCAATGAAGACTGTGGAAAGAGAAACTCTAGCCTGGAAAATCAGGAGAGCAAACTTCCAATGAGTTAGCATTAAAACAGGAGTACAGGAATATTTGGTGTGTGTGTGTGTGTGTGTGTGTGTGTGTGTGTGTGTGTGTGTGTGTGTGCCTGTACTGGGACTTGAACACGGGGTGCTTGGGCACGGTCCCTTATCTTTTTCACTCAAGGTAGGCTATCTACCACTTGAGCTACATAGCTCCCTTTCCAGCTTTTTGCTTATTAATTGGGGGGAGTATCAAGGACCTCCCTACTCAGGTTGGCTTTGAACTACGATCTTCTTCAGATCCCAGCCTCCTGAGTAGCTAGGATTACCAGGTGCTAACCACCCGCGCCTGGCAAACACAAAAGAATTAAGATTTTTAAAAAAGTTGAACTTTTTAAACAAATAGATCTTCAAAGATTCCTTCTGGCGAGGGAGAAGAATCCGGGTGAGTGTGTGGGGTGGGGGGCACATTTGTTGTCCATTCCAGATGGCTAAAGTTGCTTCCTCGCTTTCCCAAGCTTTTGGTCCAACAGTCTCCTCTCTGGCTGCCAAGCTCCCAGGTTCTGGTGTTCAAGAAAAGTGCTTTCCTTTCAGAAACATACCCCCTCCAGGGAGCTGAGGAGCCCCCCAGGGGCAGGTCCGCCCGAGCCCCAGGTGGGGCCCACTGACTCCCCTTCACGCCTAAGGTTCATCCCCCAAGTCCCACCAATGGTGGTTTCTGTGTGGGCCGGTGCCAGGGCTTGAACTCAAGTCTGGTGGCTGTCCCTGAGCTTCTTTGGCGCTCTGCCAGTCGAGCCACAGCGCCACTTGCAGCTTTTGGGTGGTTAACTGCAGAGAAGAGGCTCAAGGACTGTCCTGCCAGGGCTGGCTTCGAACCGTGATTCTCCGAGCGCAGCCTCCCGAGAGGCCGCTGGGCCGGCCCACCGACGCGGATGGAGCCCAGTCCCCCGCACCCACGTCCTAACTTCGCTCCCTCGGACCCTCAGACGGACGATCTGCGTTCTGCAGGGGGTCGCGCGACGACCCCGGGGCAGAGGGGGCCTGGGGCTCGGCAGATCGCCGGTGCGGGGAATGAACACGCTCGGGACCCCTTACCTGCGCGCGTGAGCCCGCCTGGGCCGCGGGCTCCAAGACCACCACGGAAGACACCAACACCCGGAAGCGCGGGGCGGAACCAACGGGAAAGGCCCGCCTCTCCGCGCCCTCCCTAGCACGTTCCGCCTCCCGATTGGCTTCATGATCCATTTAGCCCCGCCCCGATCCACCCACCACGCCCACTCCTCCCAATCGCTCTCTAGATCCTCCTTGTTCCCTCCCCCTTGTCCCTCCTCACCCGCCACGCCCCCGTCCCGCCCCACCCGGCCCCTCCCTGTCTCCTCATTCGATTACTACACGCGCCCCCCAGCGGCCCCACACCTCGAGAAGCTCCCCTTGTGCCTGCCTGCCCCTTTAAGTAGGTCCCAGTCGGAGGCAGAAAAATCGTTACTTCTTCCGGACATGCGCGCACACCCGCGGCCGGCGTGGTGCTTGGCGGAGGCGCTCCCCTGGCCCGGAGGTAGGGCGGGCGCCAGGTGCGGGCTCCGATCGCACCGGGAGGGGTGACACGCGGGGTCAGAGGGCGGAGAGGCAGCGTGAGGCCTGGTGTCGGGACGGTTCTGGATGGGAAGAGGCTTTCGATCTGCAGCCCGCGGGTGTGGGCTGGCGCGGCGGCGGCTGGCGCGGAGAGCCGCGGGCACCTGTCCGAGGCTTCTAGGGGTCCCCCCCCCCTCCCGCAGCTGGCACTCCCCCCCCGGAGCCGCACCTCCACGCCCGACCTTTGGGTGATCAGTGGAGAGTCGAGGCTCAGGGACGGTCCCTGCCCGAAGCCGGCTTCGAACTGTGATCCTCCAGTGCCAGCCTCCCAAACAGCTAGCTTAACCCTTCACACACACATACACACACACACCATGCGAAGCTGGCTTCAAACTATGATCCTCCAGTGCCAGCCTCCTAAACAGCTAGCCTAACCCTTCACACACACACACACACACACACACACACACACACACACCATGCGAAGCTGGCTTCGAACTGTGATCCTCCAGTGCCAGCCTCCTAAATAGCTAGCCTAAACCTTTACACACACACACACACACACACACATACACACACCATGCCAAGTTCCCCTATCCACACATTCTCCCCAAGTATGCTTGTTTCATTAGCTGAGAATGCTTTTGGCCACCCCCCTCCTTTTTGGTTTTGCAGAAAGAAAATGCCATTATTCTTCAAAGGTCTGTGCCAAACAGCTGGGGCCTCCATTACTTTGTTTTCCATCACCCGCAAGGTGCAAGCTGCACCATTCCATCAGAGACTTGTTAGAACACCTGTCTTTTTGGATTGTGTCTCTCTCAAACACACACCTCCAGTGGTCCATTGATAGTGAAACAGGGTTGAAGTCATTAGCTGGGCATTGGGTACCATTCATCGTTTTAACCCAGCTGTGTTTTCCATCATTGTACCAATTCCCTACCCCTACTGCCCTGTGAACTCTCTATTCTTATAAACCACATTGCATATTTTGTTTGTACATTAATTACTTAAGATATCCTCTATTTTCTCTCTCTTGAATCAAGGACTTAAATGATTGGTACTTGCCATCTGCCTTCCTGATTTTCTTTTTTTTTTTAATTTTTTTTTCCTGAGTCTTGAACTCAGGACAAGGTTGGCGCTCTACCACTTGAGCCACAGCTACACTTGCAGCTTTTTTGTAGTTAAATGAAAGTAAGAGTTTCATGAACCTTCCTGCCTAGCTTCAAAACATCATCCTTAGATCTCGGCCTCCTGAGTATCTAGGATTACAGGCATAAACCACTAGTCCCTGGCTTGCCTTCCTGATTATTCTAGGCAAAAGCGATCCCTTCTTTCTTTCTGTTTATTCTTCCTTTTTTTTCCCCCAGATGCAATGGCTTTCTTTATTGTATTTATTTATTTATTTATTTATCCATTCACTCATTATTTTAAGTAGTTGTACAAGAATTATTTTAAGTGGATTTCAGTTCAACAAGTCAGATTATGAGTGCAGTGCAACTTGATCAATATCCCCTCCTTCTACTCTTAGAGCTCTTATTTTGTAATGGTTGTTTTGTTTACTTAACAGTATTGGTTATGGACCTAATAAGTGTTTGAAATGATTCTAAATGTGACTTTTTCAGTAGTGAATAAAGAATATACATTTCCTGTTAACAGGGAGTTGACATTAGGTTGGGAGAGATAGACAATGAATGAGAAACACATTAGCTAGATTTGCTACTCAGAAAATCAGACGGTTTATGGAAGAAATGATTTGGAGATTCTTACAGGTTATTGGACAGAGGAAACCTCTGCGAACGTGAATCCTAAGAGGTGCAGCCATATGGTTAAGGAAGGAGCAACTGAACAGCAGAAATGGTGTGAAGGTTTTGAAGGTCAGAGTGATGAGTATAGAGGATAAAAGAATAAAGGCAGAAGGCAAAAGACAGGGTCCAGAATCAAAGTGTCTTTGGAAGCTAGAGTATATAATTGAGGCTTTATTATAAATGTAACTTGAAGGTTTAGAAATGTAAACTTGATGGTTTACTTTTTATGTGATAATTAATTTATGGCAGTACTGGGGCTTGAACTCAGGGCCAAGATACCCTCCTTTAGCTTTTATTTCACTTAAAGCCAATGCTTTGCCACTTGAGCCACAGTGCACAGCTTCACTTCCAGCTTTATTTATTTCTGGCTGGTTGATTGGAGATAAGAGTTTCACAGACTTTCCTGCCTGATCCGGCTTTAATCAGAAACCTCAGATCTCAGCTTCCTGAATCACTAGGATTTCAGGTGTGAGCCACCAATGCCCAGGTCCATCCTGTCAGTTTATGAGTACAGTGCCACTCGATCAAGGTCACCCCTTCCATCATTCTCCCTCATTTATTCCAACCACACCCTTTCCATCAAGTTACTGGCTTCTATTTTCACATATATACTTCGAATGTGATGACTATATTGGCTTATTCTTCCTTTCCATTCATCTTGGTTTACTTTTTAAAGGAATATTCTGAATGCTACATGGAGAATGAACATGGGTATTAGAAACAGGTATTAGAAGACTTTCTGATGTCTAAGAATATTCGGGTACAGGAATGTAGCTCAGTGGTATAATGTCTGTTTGGTATGCACAGGGCCCTGGGTTCTATTACCCTCCCCTGATGCGCATCCCCCCACCCCCTGGTTTTTGGATTACAGTAGCAATAAAAGGACAATGAGAGTGATCAGGGCAATTTTTGATAATGGAAAAGTCAACATTAAAACCATTAAAGTGGATGACCAAAATGAGGATGGAAAGTAAAGGATAAAAGTGAGGAATTGAGGGACCAGGACCTTAAGCAGATGATCTGCACGGGTGACTACAAAATAAATTGTGTTGGAAAGGAAGATGGTGAGCCAGAACTCATTAGCAAATGAACAGTTATCTAGGAATCACAGCGAGATAGTGCTAGCAGATGATAAAGCCCGGTAGCATGAGTCCCAAAGGAATCAGGACTTTTAAGGAAAGAACAGAAAGAAAGGAAAGGATGAAAAGAAGAAAGGAAAGGAAAGGAAGAAAGAAAGAGAAGGAAGGAAGGGGAGGAAGAGGGGGAGGTGACGAGAACAAGAAGGGAAGAAAAGCAGAGGAGAAGAAGGAAGAAGAAGAGGAGGAGGAGGAAGAAGAAATAGTTTGGAAAAAGCAATTAGGGTAGAAAATAGAGGCAACTGTAGGAGTTTAAGCAATTAAAGGAAATTAATATGTTATTTTATATCTCCTAAAGAAGTCGGACATACAGAATGTGTATATAGTCTCTATATGGCACAGTGGGAAGGATTGGGGAGAGGGGCATTTTCTAAATTGGTTCAGGTTAGTAGAAACAAGATAAAGGTCGAGATGATGTGGCTTAGTGGTACAGTACTTGCCTAGCGTGCATGAAGGCCCAGGTTCAATTCCTTAGTACCACACGAACAGAATAAAGCCTGAAGTGACACTGTGGCTAGAGTTGTAGAGTGCTAGCCTTGAGCAAAAGAAGCTCAGGGACAGCCCAGGCTCTCTGGACTGGCAAAAAAACAAAACAAAACAACAAAATCCCCAAACCTAAAAAGGTATAGCTAATTTGCTGGACGGCATGTATAACACACAGAGAGCCACTTAGGCTCCAGGAACAGTTCATCTTTCCCACAGCGCCACATGGAATTGCACATGTCTGTTGCTCCTACAAATGCCAGTGAAGCTGCAGAAAAATCTCTGGATCAGCCTCAGAATATTGAATCTGTCCTCCTGGGAGCTTTGCAGAAGGCTTAATGAAGCTCCAAGACTAACTTAAGCTTACCTTTAAAGTTGATATGGAGATCTTCACTTCTCGTTATCCATTTCGACTCTTTCGTCTAGTCTTCTTGTTCTTCTCATGTCTGAATGTCTAATATATAAAAATCTAACCATAATCTCTGTAGAATTAGCTAGGAATTTTAGGCTGTAGGAATGAGATTAGACAAATCATTGTAAAACACATCTATGTTCTGGACTTTTCTTTGTGGGCCTACAATGACTATTTATTTACTTTTGTTTTCTTATTTATTTTAGTATTATTATAAAGGTCATACAAATTTTTGATGGCAGCACTGGGGTTTGAACTCAGGGCCTTGCATTCTTGACTGTCGCTTCTCTAGGCTAGTACTCTACTGCGTTGGCTACACCTCCATTTCTGGCTTTCTTCAGTTTACTGAAGACAAGAGTCTCACAGACTTTTCTGCTTGAGCTGTCTTTGAACCCTGATCATCAGATCTCAACCCTTTGAGTGTCTAGGATTGTGTGAGCCACCAGCACTCAGCTTCCAAATACTACTTTAAAGGTACACTGAAGCTGACCCATTTTAATCCTAATATTTGACGATATTCTGAATGCCACATAGAGAATGAACTATGGGCTAGACAAAGAAATAGGAACTGGAAGACTTCATGATGTCTAAGAATATTCAGGTATAGGGATGTAGCTGATGTAGACAGAATCCTGTAATAAGTGAAAAATCAAGGTTAAAAACAGTAGGTAATGCTGGATGCCACTGGTTCACACCTGTAACCCTAGCTATTCAATAGGCTGAGATCTGAGGACTGTGGCTTGAAGCCAGCCTGGGCAAAAAAGGCTGTGAGACCCTCATCTCCAATTAACCACCAACTCCTCATCCCCCCCCCCCCACAGAAAAACAACAAAACAAGTGGAGCTGTGGATCAATTGGTAGAACACTAGTCGAGCAAAAAACAAAAACAAAAAAACCCTCAAGGACAGTGCCTAGGTTCTGAGTTTATGCCATGGGACCTGCAGAAAAAATAAAACTAACAACAACAAAAAAACCATTAGTTAAATATGAAATTGTTTGTAAACTCTGCTTATTATAGGAGAGTCAAGTACACATTACATATAGTCATAGGATAGGTTATTAATGTCATTGAATGGGACTTAACAATAGAAAAGGAGGCAGGACCAGAGAAATCTTGTGAGGCAATTCCCTTTTGGTTATCCACAACTTTCCTGATGACTTTATTTCTTTTGTAGGCTTTCTTACTCAAGAATGGAAGAAGATGCAGATTATAGAATCAGGTTTAGTAGTCTATGTTTCATTAATGATCATGTTGGATTTCAAGGTACTATAAAGAACTCACCAAGTGACTTTATTGTCATTGAGATTGATGGACAGGGGCAGTTAGCTAATAAGGCTATTGATGAACCTTTTCCGGAAGTTAGTAAAATACCACCTGAGCCAGATAATATCGCCAAGAAGCCTAAACTTGATTTTCAAAATGGAACCTTTGATGATGGAAATAATCAAGAAGTTATTGGTTTGGCTAGGTGCTCCCAAGGTGATCACAAACTTCAGTCTGATTCAGAAAAAGAAGACAGTACCACTGGTGGGATTTCCAATTGGGAAGAAGGAAAAACTGATTTATTAAGTTGTTTTTTGGATGAGAAAACTAATGAACAATTGAGTCAATTTGCCCTAGAGATAAAAGAACAGTGGAATTTGAAAGGGGAGTCAGTGGAAGCAACTCCTGAATTGTCATTGGGCAAATTCCTTGAGAAAAACCACAGGGCTGCCGTGCACAGTGCTGTCAGGCAGAAATTTCCTTTCTTAATCACTGTCGGTAAAAACAGTGAGATTGTTGTAAAACCTAATCTTGAGTGTAAAGAACTCTGTCATTTGGTGTCTGAAGAGGAAGCATTTGACTTTTTTAAGTACTTGGATGCAAAGAAAGAAAATTCGAAATTCACGTTTAAACCTGATACAAACAAAGATCACAGAAAAGCTGTGCATCATTTTGTCAACAAGAAATTTGGGAATCTGGTAGAAACCAAGTCGTTTCCTGAAGGAAATTTCAAGAGTGGGAATAATGGAAATGTGATAACTGTAAGATTTCGGGAGAAGATGCACACACCTGGAAAAAGACCTCTTCAAGGCCAAGAAAGGAAAGTTGTATATACAGGTAATTTAATAAATCATTATCATTTCTTTAGATAAATGTGAGAAACAGTGTGAAGCCTCCAAGGAGTTATCAGTATTTTTTAAATGACAGTTGAAATCTATAATGGTGATTTTGTATTTTGTATATTTGTATATTTTGTATATTTGTATTTTGATGAAAATGTTTGATGCAAATATTTTGAGTTACAGACTTGATCCTTTATCATAATCTGCTAGTGTGCTAGAAATGGAAACTGCCCCTTTTGTAATTCAGAATTACTTTTGTTTCAGCTTTTACTCTACGAAAGGAAAACCTGGAAATGTTTGAAGCACTTGGTTTTTTAGCCATGAAACTTGGAGTGATTCCTTCGGATTTTAGCTATGCAGGCCTTAAAGATAAGAAAGCTGTCACCTATCAGTCAGTGGTGGTTAAAAAAGTGAATCCAGAAAGGTAATAAGTTATTGGTTTATAAGACAGAAGTTTAAGTGTGTGTGTGTGTGTGTGTGTGTGTGTGTGTGTAGTTTGAACTCAAGGTCTGGGCTTTTGTGCTCAAGGCTGGAGCTCGATTACTTGAGCCATTCCACTTCCAGCTTTTTGATGATTTACTGGAGATAAGAATCCCATTTTTCTTGCCTACACAGGCTTTGAACTGTGGTACTCTTGGCCTCCTAAGTAGGTGGGATTACAAATGTGAGTTTACTTTCATATTGCATCAGATAAATAGATTTAAAACCCAGAATGATATTGAGAGTATAATTTGTCAATCAGTTGGTTATAGACCAAGCAATACATTCTACATTAGTAATGTGATTGTCTTCTTCATAAGTAATTTTATGTTTTAAATTTACATAAAGATATAGGAGGATGGGCTGGGAAGGTGGCTCAGTGGTAGAGTGCTTGCTTTGCATGCCTGAGGCCCTGGGTTCAATTCCTCAATACCATATAAACAGAAAAAGCCAGAAGTAGCACTGTGGCTCAAGAGCACTAGCCTTGAGCTGAAGAGCTCAGGGACAGCGCCCAGGCCCAGAGTTCAGGCCCCACAACCAAAAAAAAAAAAAAAAAAAAAAAAAAAAAAATATATATATATATAGAGAGAGAGAGAGACAGAGAGAGAGAGGGAGATGGAGAGATGAGGAGCTTAGTGCCTGTGGCTCACACCTGTAATCCTAGCTACTCAGGACGCTGAGCTAAGAGAATCGAGATTCAAAGCCAGGCTGGACAGAAAAGTGCGTGCGACTCTTATCTCCAGTTAAACACCAGAAAACCAGAAGTGGCGCTGTGGCTCAAGTGGTAGAGTGTTTGCCTTGAGCTGAAGAGCTCAGGGATCGCACCCCAGGCTCAGAGTTCAAGCCCCATGAGTGACAAAAAAAAAAAAGAAGATGTTTTAGGATAGAAACTGAGAAGTGGGGGATTTTTAAATTCTCCAAATTGTTTCTAAACCTCTATACTATATTCTAATACGCATTTATATTCTGGAAAGTGTATTGTAAGTTATTTTTCCTAATTGCTATGATGCTTTTATGCCTTTATTTTTGTGGACTCTTAGATTTAAAATATACCCCTGATAAATGTAAAGTACTCACATTTAACCTTCCTTTAGGTAAGTCAATTGTTTAACATATTTTTTACCATTCTAAAGGAAAAATTCACTTCTTAGATGCTGGGGAAAAATTAAAAGTTTGAGTGAGGGATTTGGAGTGTGTCTCAAGTGGTAGAGCACCTGCCTAGCAAGCACGAGGCCCATTACCCCTCCCCCCCAATAAGAAAAATAAATCGAATAAGAGTAAATTGAATAAGAATAAATTCTCTAGTGCCAGTGGGTTTTAAAAACAATACTTTTTATTTTTTCAATTTTTGACTGAGACAGCAAGGAGCAGAGTTATGACAGATAGATCAGAACTTCTGGATCACTTGAACTAATAAGCCAGAAGGCCTACATTGGTGTGTGTGTGTGTGTGTGTGTGTGTGTGTGTGTGTGTGTGTGTGTGTGTGTGTGTGTGTGTATTATATAATATATATGTTTTCAAGTTCCCAAAACAACTCTATAATTCTATAATAACCCTATATTAACCCTTTAAGTATAATGACCCTATAAGTATACTTTACACACACACACACACACACACACACACACACACACACACAACATTATTCAAGTTCTTAAAATAACTCTTTAAATAAGTATAATCGTCTAAGTGTGAATATTTGCAATAACATTAAGACTGGAATATTAAAAATATTGTATTTTTGATCGGAGGGGCTGCCTGGCAACTATCATTTAAATCATTTAAAGCCTTGTGTTAATTTTTAGATGAAAGATTTAATTGAGCCTGTGTGATTTATCACTTCTAGGTTGAAAAGTGTGGAGAAAGAAATGGAAAAGAAAAGGATGAATGTGTTTAATATTCGATCTGTAGGCAATGCCCTTAGACTTGGTCAGCTCAAGGGAAATCACTTTGATATTGTCATCAGAGATTTAAAAAATCAAATCAATGATTCTGCAAATTTGAGAGAGAGAATTTTGGAGGCAATAGAAAATGTTAAGGTAAGAAAATACATACAGTATTACAGGAAAATCTTTATAGTCCCTCTCTGCATTGTGGAAAGAAAGGAAATATTTTTCCTTTTGTATCTTTTTATCTGCATGTATAATAATAATAATAATAATATAATAAGGAGGGCCATTTGACATTTTCTGTTTTTTTTTTCTTAACATGCTTTTGTATTAAGACCAAACATACATTGTGGCTCATGCCTATCATCCTAGCTACTCAGCAGGCTGAGATTCAGAGATTCAACTCTTATCTCCAATGAACCACACAAAGCCAGAAATGAAGCTATGGTTCAAGTTGATACAGTGCCAGCCTTTGAAAAAACTCAAGGCTAGGGCTCGTACCCAGGTCTTGAGTTCAAGCCTCAGTACTGGCACACACACGCAAAGATGACTTAGGTTTCTAAGTGACATCTGCCAAGCATTCAAGTGTGTTTATATAATCATAGTCCCAGTCTGTTCATCTAAACTAGAGGGTCAGCAAGATTTTCTACAAGGGGCCAATAATAAATATTTTTGGTTTTGCTGGCATATGGTTTATGTTGGAATGAATCAACTGCCATTGTGTCAAAATGGCTGTAGACAATACACAGATAAATGAGCAGGGCTGTGTTCCAGTAAAAGTTTATTTGCAGAAATGAGTGTTGAGCCAAATAGGACTTGGTGGGCTGGAGTCATTTGCCAAACCCGGATGCAGACTAGTAATTCTCAATTTGAGGAGCTTTTAAAAAATGTCGGCAGTCAATTTCTCCTTCGAAATCAATTTAGAACGTTTGAGGCTGTGGCTTTGGCATGGCTATTTTTAAATAGCTTGCTAAGTGATTCTGCCCTGGAGCCAGCGTGGAGAGGATCGGAGCCAAGTTCCTGACCACACCATCTTTTTTACCCAATTTTATACCTCTCTAATAGGAAAACAAACAAAGCTGGGCGTTTTTGTGGCTTACGGTTAAAGAACTGTCTTCCAGCCAAAGACCTTTTAAATTCAGCATTTTAACCTATGTATATTTCAATGCCTGAAATCATATGCTCTGTATACTCTTTTATCTTTCTTTTATGACTCATCTATCTAAAAATTTTATACCCTCCACTCTTGTGAAATGGTTCTGAAAATAATATCTCTTTGAAGATGGAGTGTGTTTCTCTGAATTTGGATTGCATTCGTTACCAGTTTTGCATCGGTATTTATGAGGCTCCACCTGCCTATTATGAAATGATCATTATAAATAATCTTAGCTTATTTGGTCATAATATTCAATGTACGTATGTGAACATGGAACTAGGTAAGCTGAGGGGATGGGTAGGGTTGGGAGATATGGAGGAGAATGCTGAAAAGGGGTGACACACTGATCATGATGCATTGTACTTATAAAAGTAGTTATGTTGCTAGGTACTGGTGGCTCATGCCTGCAATCCTAGCTACTCAGGATGCTCAGATCTGAGGATTGTGGTTTGAAGTCAGCCCAGGAAGGAAAGTCAGTGAGACTTACCTCCAATACCAAAAAAAGCCAGAAATGAAGCTGTGGCTCAAGTGATAGAATGCTAGCCTTGAGCAAAAAAAAGCTCAGGGATGGTTCCCAGGACTGGCACAAACACGCACACACACTCATACACACACACACACACACACACACACACACATGTTGAGTTAAAACCCCTTGTTCTACTACTTAATAGTTAAAGAAGTTCTTAAAAGAGATAATCTTTGTCTTAGGGCTGGGGTGTGACTTACATGATGGTAGGACTGTGTAACAAAAGAGAGGCCCTGAATTTAAACCCCAAAACCACCAAAAATGAAAAAAAAAAATCTTTAGCTAGTTCAATTCCCATGATGAAGGAAGGGAGTCAAGTAGCTTTGAAAATGAGATGTCTTTTGAGTTTTCTTTAGAGTTATAGCATTAATAGTTGTGAATCGTTTGGTATATGTAAGTAGTTTGGAGGGATAGATAAAATTCTAGTTATTCTAAGTTATCTGACATTTTATTTTAAATTTGAAATAACTCAAAATACATGGGAGAATTAATTAATTAAAGTGTTTCATCTATCTGCAAAAATCTATCTAATTTTTCTGTAAAGATACAATTCCCTTTGTCCTGTATTGTGATAGTGTCTTAGCATATTTTATTTAGTAGTCCTTGGGTTGGAGTTTAGTAATGATTGTGTAAAGATATGTGTACATTTCTCATAATGTGCATGTAGAAGATTGTCTTCCATGAGTCTCTTTACAAGTTGCAATAGTAAGTTCGTTCTCTCCTCTGAATGAAAAATAGAGCAGTTTCAAAGCATGACCTTAGAATTCCCTTATATCACTTGTATCAAAAAGTATACTTGCATCAAAATTCACTTCTATCAAGAGGCAAATCTGAGTTGCTGCCCTGGCATGCAAGTTCTGTTGCAGCTTCATGCAGGCTGTAAGAACCAAGAGAGACTGAAGAATATATGACTATATAAAGAAGCCAGGATTTTTAGTGACTTGGAAAAGAAGTCTGTTTCTTTTCCCCCCATTTCCTGATGGCAGAAGAGTCTCAAAATGAGAAAGCACTTTAGAGCAGAGATCAAATCCAGGTACTGGGAGACCACTCAATCTTCCTGTGTTTACAACTTGTCTGGTATATCCCAGGAACCTTCTCAGTCATGTGAATAGAAAGTTGACATGTTTTTAAAGCTTTCTTCAATAGTTTTATGTGCTAACTCAGTGTGTGTGTGTGTGTGTGTGTGTGTGTGTGTGTGTGTGTGTGTGTGTTTGTGTTGAACTCAGGACATGGTGATATCCCTTGAGCTACACCTCCACTTTTAGCCTATTTACTGGTTAGTTGGAGGTAAGAATCTTGTAGACTTAAAACAACAACAACAACAAAACCAGTAAAAGGCCCTGTTTCTATTTCCTGGAGTTCATTTCCATAGATAGTACTTGAAATGTAGAGAAGTTACACCTTTGGATTTCTCCCCAAGTATATCCTTCTTTGGTCTGTGTATGAATGTCTAGAGTCCTGGATAGGTCATCATGTCCAGTTATATTTTAGATCTAGCTTCTACATATGAAGAATCTCATGGACTTTTCTACCTTGCTGGCTTTCAACTGTTGATCCTCAGATCTTAGCCTCCTGAATAGCCAGGGTTATGGGCATAATTACGTGCTAACTTCTAATTGTGTGTTCTTTTCTGTTTATGTAGTATTTCTCAGACTATTTGGTCTCTGTACAAATGCCTGATTACAAGAATTTTTGTAGGAAATACGAAGAGAAATATTTGATGTTTTTTTCCTTTTTCTTTTTAAATCTAAGACCAGAACTCAAATTCATTATCTGATGTTTTTGCTTTTTGACTGGTGCTGTACCACCTGAGCCATGCCTTCAACCCCAATCACATTTTTGATACCATTTAGATAAACTCTTATTTAATTCTTATTAATGACTTCTTAATTATTTTCTATTCATAGAGTAAAGGCTTTGTGAATTACTATGGACCACAGAGATTTGGAAAGGGAAGGAAAGTTCACACAGATCAAATTGGATTAGCTTTGCTGAAGAGTGAAATGGTATGGATTTTAAATTAATGGTATATTATAGATATAATCTTATCTTTTTAGTCATTTTTACTTCTTATTTAAGCCAGCCCCTAGTTCTCTTATCCTAAGCAAATAAATGCATATTCACACACATATACATGCATATGCCCCAAATACATATTGAACATTTATTAAGCAACTATAATCTTGGTATCATGTGCAGAAAAGCAGATTATATGCATGCCCCATGTTTAATACTTACTTGAAAGCTTGACATAGAATGAATCAACGTTTTTTTTTTTTTGGGGGGGGGGTCCAGTTGTGGGGCCTGAACTCTAGGCCTGGGCGCTGTCCCTCAGCTCTTCAGCTCAAGGCTAGCGCTCTACTGCTTGAGCCACAGCGCCACTTCTGGCTTTTTTCTTTTTGCTTATGTGGTGCTGAGGAATCAAACCCAGGGCCTCATGCATGTAAGGCAAGCGCTCCACCACTGAGCCACCTTCTCAGCCCTGAATCAACATTTTCTAAATCCCCTGTGAACTGAATGTAAGACTTGGAGGTAGCATATCCTATAGAAATCAGGTATTAAATCATATAAGAGATAGAATCAACCCAAGTTTAGAGGGCAGTGGCAAATTTGAAAACAAAATTTGACTAGTCTCAAATGAAGCTACAAATATACATCACAAATAAGTTACATTTAAAAGTATGTCTGTGGCCTGGCACCAGTGGCTCCTACCTGTAATCTTAACTATTCAGGAGGCTGAGATCTTGAGGATGGAGTTTCAAAGCCAGCCTGGGCAGACTCCTAACTCTTGTCTCCAGTTATCTACCAAAAAAGCCAGAAGTAGAGCTCTGGCCCAAGTGATAGAGTGCTAGTCTTGAGGAAGAAGACTAAGAGACAGCTCTTAAGCCCAAATCTCAAGCCCCAAAATTGGCACACAAACACACAGAAAAGTATTTGTGTGTGAATATGTCCATATACATGTGTGTGTGTGTGTGTGTGTGTGTGTGTGTGTGTGTGTGTGTATCTGTGTCTGTGTCTGTGTCTGTGTGTCCCAGTACTGGGGCTTGAACTCAGGGCCTGAGTACTGTTTATACTTTTCATGCAGGCAAGTGTGTGTGCACCTGTGTGTGTGTGTGTGTGAGTCCAGGGGCTTGAACTCAGGGCCTAGGAGCTGTCCCTGAGCTATTTTGCTCAAGGCTAGCGCTCTATCACTTAAACTACAGCCTCACCGTAAGCTTTTTGGAGATTAACTGGAAATAAGAGTCTCACAGACTTTCCTGCCCAGGTTGGCTTTGAACTGTGATCCTTACATCTTAGCCTCCTGAGTAGAGTGAGCCATCGGCACCTGACGTAGCAACAATTTTTAAGAGAAAAGAATTCAGGGATCTGAGAATATAAATGAAAACAATGGTTTGTTTCATTGCCCTATTCTTACTTTTTGTTGTGCATGTTGGTCAACTCTGAATACTATAAATTACAATTATAGCCAGGTGCGAGTGACTCAGTTGTATAATCTCTGCTACTCAAGAGGCTGAGATCTGAGCATCCTAGTTGAAAGCTAGCCCCAAGAGGAAAGTCCAATTGTATTCATGTTTCAATTGAAGAATAGTGGAAGTACATTCAGAGAAGTGGTTAGAGAGGAGGTACTTTTACCCATCTGTGACATTTTAAAACTAAATATTCATTTTGTACATAAGGTTTATTTCTATGTGAAATATTGTTTAATTCTTGAAAGTCTGAAGAGCAGATCAAACATCATATATCATTAATTGAATGCCTTGTCTTTGAAGGTAGCCTTTTAGGCAAAGGAAGGAAGGAAGGAAGGAAGGAAGGAAGGAAGGAAGGAAGGAAGGAAGGAAGGAAGGAAGGAAGGAAGGAAGGAAGGAAGGAAGGAAGGAAGGAAGGAAGGAAGGAAGGAAGGAAGGAAGGAAGGAAGGAAGGAAGGAAGGAAGGAAGGAAGGAAGGAAGGAAGGAAGGGCTGGGAAGGTAACTCAGTGGTAGAGTGCTTGCCTCACATGCTTGAGGCCCTGGGTTTGATTCCTCAGCACCACATACACAGAAAAAGCCAGAAGTGGGCGCTGTGGCTCAAGTGGTAGAGCACTAGCCTTGAGCTGAAGAGCTGAGGGACAGTGCCTAGTCCCAGAGTTCAAGCCCCAACGATGGGGGCGGGGGGTGGTAATGTAATTTGGCTGGGTGCTAGTGGCTCATTTCTTAATCCTAGCTACTTAGGAGGCTAAGATCTATGGACCACAGTTTAAAGTTAGCCTGGGCACTAATGAACCACCAAAAGGTGGAAGCAGAGCTGTGGCTCAAGTGGTAGAACACTAACTTTGAGCAAAAAAAATTAGGGATAGCACTCAGTCCTTGAGTTCAAGTCCTGGGATTCTCTCTCCCTCTCTATCTCTCGCTCTCTCTCTCATACACACATACACACACAAATATAATTTAACGTTTTCTTTAACATGTTTGCTTGCTTGGTTTTGCAAGATGAAAGCAATAAAATTATTTCTTACACCAGAAGACTTGGATGATCCTGTAAACAAGGCAAAGAAATATTTTCTTCAAACTGGTATGTAAAGCTTTCTACTCCGTGTATAGCAATAGGGATGCATACTCTAAATGTTAGGACAGCAGGAAAGCATTATTGCTCAGAGTGTGTAAAGAAATCCATTGTAATAATTATTTTATTTTGAATTATTTTATTACATGATAGTGCTACTTTTTTTTGCCAGCTCTCTGGGAATTTGATCTGTTGTAATTACTCCTTGGGATTAGAGGAGAGGAAAGAAATAGTTTTTTGGTTTTCTTTGGTCAAAATCCATTGCCACAGGCATGAGCATTGGTAGCTCATTCCTGTGATTCTAGCTACGCAGGAGGTTAAAATCTGAAGATCGTGGTTCAAAGCCTGCGTAGGCCAGAATATCCATGACATGTTTATCTCCAGTCACTACCAAAAAGCCAGAAGTGGAGCTGTGGCTCAAGTGGTAGAGTGCCAGCCTGGAGCTTAAAAGCTAAGGGACAGCACCCTGACCCTGAGTTTAAGCCCCAGTACAAGCGTGTGTGCACACACACACACATGCGCACACATACACACACAAATGTTTTAAGAGGTGTAACTAGATTTAACTGATATTGCTGAGCTCTGAGCAGCTTGTTCTTAGTATGATTGCCTTTTGTTTTGTCAGCAAAAGAAAGACCTTTATGAGTGACTGAGATCTGATTTGCTCTTCATTTCAGAGGACGCAAAGGGTACACTGTCATTGATGCCCGAGTTCAAAGTTCGAGAAAGGGCACTGCTGGAGTCCCTACATCGTTTTGGCATGACAGAGGAGGGATGTACTCAGGCCTGGTTCTCTTTTCCCCACTCCATGCGCATATTTTATGTCCATGCCTATAGCAGCAAGATTTGGAATGAGGCAGCATCTTACAGACTTGCCACCTACGGATGCAAGGTAGTGGAGGGTGATCTGGTGTGTTTGGAGGAAGACGTTGATGACCATTTCTCCAGTAGTAAAGTAAGTACCATCTGACCATGGGTGTGGAGGTAGCATGAGGAGCAGTCATTTTCAGAAGCTCTAATTTGGGGAACACATTAAAACATTATTAATTTATCTCTTTATTTCTATTATGCTTATCTGCTGACAATTGAACTTAGCTCAGATTGGTCAATGCTACAGAATGAAAGACATAAAGACAGCAAAGCTTCCTTTAAAAAAAAAACAACACTTCTTAAAACAATCATACAAGTAACACGTCAAACACCCTTCTTACAAATAAAATATAAAAGATATAGAGCTTTGGCTTAAGTGGTAGAACACCAGGCCTGAACAAAAAAGCCAAGCAAGAGATCAAGGCCCTGAACTCAAGGTCCAGTAACTGGCATACACACACACACACACACACACACACACACACACACACACACACACACACACACACACACACACACACACACACATGCATATGTGTGTGCACACACACATGCATATGTGTGTGCACACACACACACTAAAAAAAGATAATAAATAAATACGTAAATAAATAGGAAAAAATCCTTTGTAGGTTAGGAGAAGATGGTAAGACTGAGATAAGAAGCCAAATGTCAGTGGCTTACTCCTGTCATCCTAGCTACTCCGGAAGCTGAAATTTGAGGATCACAGTTTGAAGCTAATCTGGACAGACAAGTCTGAGGCTTTTATCTCCAATTAACCACCACAAAAGCTAGAAGTGAAGCTTACTAGCTTTGAGCACAAAAGCTTAGACATAGCCCAGGCCCTGAGTTCAAGCCCCACACCAGTGACAAAAAAAAAAAGTCTGCAATAACAGTATTGTCTCAGAGCAGCTTCCCATTCTCTTTGTTTTCCAGCTTTAGCAATCAGTATATAAGGCAGTAAGAACTGTTCTAATTTGTATTAGAAGCTAATTGTCTCCAGAGACAGGCTATTAGGAAAAGATCTTGTTTTCATATATGCATATTCAGTATAAGAATCAAATTATACCCAGCAGAGTTAGGGAAAATTGCAGTCGTGTAAAACATTTGGCAACCATTCATATTTTCATCATGTTTTTTAAAATTAGGTTCACCTGGTGACTAAGGAAGAGGAATCAGCTAATACATATGCAATGCACCAGGTAAATTTTTCGTATAAATTACTAAGGACAAACATTGTCCACCAAAGATAAAATCCTGACACACTTCCTGCTTTTAAGTTATTTCTAAATTAACTTATTTATTTACACACACATTCAGTTTATAATTCTATACATTTTTATTAACTCTTCTTTTTTTAAATTTGGGTACTGGGGTTTAAACTTAGCTTTTTTGCTCTAGAGTAGAGCTCTACCACTTGAGCCACAGTTCCATCTTCTGGCTTTTTGTCTGTTAATAGGAGATAAGAGTCTCACAGATTTTTTTTCCCGGGTTGCTTCCATTTGGGACCTCAGATTTCAGTCTCCTGAGTCGCTAGGATTATAGCTATGAGCCACCAATGTCCAGCTGAGTTCTTTATTTCCATTAGCTATTTTCATTACCAGGCAGTGTTAAAGGTATCATAGTGTGGTATTCAAAGAATATTTTAGTCTGCCTATAATGTTTAGGTCCTGAGACTGATGTTTTACAGATCTAGGTCTCAGTCATAGAAGTAACATATAATTATATATTCTAACGAAGGCTGTTTCATATGTATATTGTTGTTATTGTTTCTTTTTTCCCTCTTCATTCCCAGGTAGTTCTGCCAGTTCTTGGATACAACATTTTATACCCAAAGAATAAAGTAGGGCAGTGGTACCAGGAAATACTTAGCCGAGATGGGCTACAGACATGTCGTTTTAAAGTACCGACTCTCAAACTGAACATACCAGGATGCTACCGACAGATTCTCAAATGGCCTCACAAGCTAACACACCAGCTTTCTGGAGATCATGACACTGCTGAGGAACTGGAAGGGTCTCACATCCATGCAGCAAACTTCTCCCTTGTCATCTCCTTTGATCTTGATGCTTCATGTTATGCTACAGTGTGCCTGAGGGAGATAATGAAGCATGATGTTTAAAGTGGATACCTTCCGTATCATCATACACATGTCAGGGTTTTTTTTTTTCCTGTATGCCAGTACTGGGGCTTGAACTCAGGGTGTGGAAGCTGTCCAGTAGCTTTCATGCTCAAGGCTGGCACTCTACCTATTGAGCCACAGCTCTACTTCTGACTTTTTGCTGGTTGATTGGAGATACAAGTCTCATGGACATTTTTTTTCCTTCTTTTTTAACCAGATTGGCTTTGCATCTCACATCTCAGCCTTCTGTATAGTTAGGATTACAGGCCTGAGCCATGGACACTTGGCTTACATGTGTCACTCCTGGCCAGAGGAGGAGCTAATATTTCTTGAGCTTTGTAATTATCTCATTTTATTTTATTTTTTTGTCAGCAGTAGGACTTGAATGCTGGGCCTGGGTGCTATCCCTCAGCTCTTCAGCTCAAGGCAAGTGCTGTACCACTTGAGCCATAGAGCCACTTCCAGTTTTCTGGTGGTTAATTGGAGATAAGAGTCTCATGGATTTTCCTGTCCTACTGTCTTTGAATCACAATCCTCAGATCTTAGCTTCCTGAGTAGCTAGGATTACAGACATGAGTCACCAGCTTCTTTTTAATTTTTATAACATCCGAATAAATTGGGATTTGATGTTTTAAAGTTTTAGGGATATGCAGCAAGTCTGATGGTGTGAATTTAAGATCTGTATGACTCCAAACTTCGTGTTCTTTCAATGGCTTTCATTCTGTAGCATAGCGTTTAGACGTGTGTGTGTGTGTGTGTGTGTGTGTGTGTGTGTGTGTGTGTGTGTGTGTGTGTGTGTGTGTGTGTGTATACTGGGCTCTTTCCCACAGTTTTTTCACTCAAGACTGGCCCTTTACCACTTGAACCACAGCTCCACTTTTAGCCTTTTGCTGATTAAGTATATATAAGAATCTCATGGACTTTCCTGATCAGCCTGGCTTTGAGCTTTGATCCCCAGCTCTCTTCGCATGGCTAGTTTTACAGACATGAGCTACTGGTGTGCAGCATATCTTTTTAAACTACTAGGAACATAGGCTAATGAAAAGTAAAAGGTAAGGCAATTGATGCAACCTTGGTTCATATCTTCTCGCCCTTTGCTTAGAAAGTGAAACGGAGTGACCCTAAACGCATGGTTGGTGGGAAAGAAATGAACAGTGTGCCAATTATTCTTGTCATCCTTTCCCAGTTTTGAAATAATTGATCAAAGCAATATACATGGGAAATACCATTCCTTCTCATGATAGCTATCTCAGAAGAGTTAGTTATTACTCCTTTATGAGACATCAGGAATGCCCATGACCAGACAAAATTACTAATATAGGCAGACGGGTTGTGGGCAGCCTACAAGAAGTATTATGTATCTGTGGCAAATTTTGAGTGCCTTACAGCAGGGCCCACAAGCAGAAAGTTTCCCACGTCTGATAAATAATCTTTGATAAAGCTTGAAACCAGATTTTTTCATACATTTTTTTTATATTTTGATGTCTGTTGATCCCCTGGCTTTTTGCTTTCATTGGTGTCTTTTTGCTTTCATTGGTGTCTTTTTGCTGTTATCTTAACCTCAGCTTCTAGAGATAGGCACAACTGTATTCAGACTCCATCTTAAATATATTCCTGTGACTTTGGACATATTATTGATTCTTTTTAAGAATCAAGGTAATATCAACTTAGTAAGTGACAGTAGGGTTATCCACATCTCAAGTTGCTAGAGGAAGGAAACATTTGCGCATTTGGAAAATGTTTGTTAAACTATCCCATATCATAAACCATCGTAAGCAGTTTATATCAATTAAATTTAGAGTGGGGTGAGATGACCAATATATACTTCTTGCAAAAATCTGATCTGAGCATCTTCTCATTGCTAGTAATATCATGATAAATTCTATTAGTATATGAGCTAGTCCTGGGCTTGAACTCAGAGTTTAGTTGCTGTCCTTGAGCTTTTAGGTTTAAGGCTAGCAGTCTACCGCTTGAGGCACAGCTCCACTTCAGTCTTTTGATGATAAGGGCCTCTCAAACTTTCCTGCCTGGGTTGACTTTGAAATGTAATCCTCAGATCTCAGCCTCCTGATGAGCTAAGATTATAGCTGTGAGCCACTGGTGCTCAGCACATTTGGAATTATATATACATATGTATATGTATATATTACATTATATATATATGTAAAACACATATAGCACACACTTTATTTTTTTGGTCATTGTATACTTTAGCAATATACCAGTCTCAAAAACCTAACATTGAGATATTACAGTATTACCATTGGTTTTTTTTTTTTAAATTACCTTCACAATTTTAAGGTATTTGTGGAATGAGAGAGGCTTTATTCAGTAGTAGTAAAAATAAAATGTATAAAATATGTTTTAGCAATACTTCATAAGTTAAATTGTGTCTTGCAAATATAATCAGTTAATTTGTGATTTTCAGTCACAACTTTTAAGTGATCAAATTTAGTTTGCCTTTAAATGTAAAGTAGCCATTAGAAAATACAAAAAGCATTACATGCTACCACACATTTACTTTCTTTGCCTGTAGATGGCACTGTAATTGTAGATATATTTATTTACTTACTAGTTTACCCATGTATAAAGAAAGGATCACTAAATTTATTCCAAGTCACTATGGATACCGTTCATGTGGAAAATCAGTTTATATAATAATAGTATTTGTCATGATTTTTTCCCAGCCTGGGGACTTTATTAATATACTGTGATAGAATTGGTGACCTGTGTTTTCCATTTATGTGGGACATGTCATCAATTCATAAGCATGTGCTTTGGTTTATTATTGTTTGTGCCTGTACTGGGACTTGAACTTAAGTCCTTATTACTCTTCCTTAGCCTTTTTGCCCATGGCTGGCACTACAACTTGAAACATACCTCAGTTTCAGTTTTCCTTGGTTACTTGGAGATGAGTTTCATAGACCTTCCTGTTACAGTTACAGCTGGTTTTGAACCATAATCCTCAGATCTCAGCCATCTCAGCCTTCTGAGTAGGTAGGATTACAGGCATGAGCCAACAGTGCCCAGATTAAGTTTATATTAAGTTTACATTTTAGAGGGTTCACACATACGTACACACACACACACACACAGACACACACACACCTCGAAAGGAGAAATAATTGTTTCTAAATATGGGAATTTAGTAGTGGGTTTAAGTTAGGGTTTAAGTTTGAGAACTATCTAGAGTCTACTTCAGCAAACACTGATCAAAAAGAGGTTGGAGGAAGGTGTAGGGTAATAGGAAAAAACTTTTTCTGTGAGTACTTCTGAACTGTTTAAAAATGTGTGTGTGTGTGTGTGTGTGTGTGTGAATGTGCATGTGCCAGTACTGGGGCTTGAAGTCAGGCCCTTGACCTCTTGTTTGAGTTTTCTTGCACATGGCTGAGCCCTGCAACTTGAAGCACAGCTCCACTTCTGCGTTTTTGTTGGTTCTAATTAACCACCATGAGTTTCGTGGGCTTACCTGGCTGGCTGTCTCTGAACCATGATCCTCAAATCTCAGCTTTGTAAGTAGCTGGGATTTACAGGTATGAGCCACTGGTGCCTACTTTGAAATATTTAAAATTTCTTTCTTTTCCTCTTTTGGTGCCGGTCCTGGGCCTTGAACTCAAGGCATGGGTGCTATCCTGAGCTTTTGTGCTCAAAGCTTCAAGGAGCACTCTTAACACTTGAGCCACAGCTCCGCTTTGGCTTTCTCTGTAGATACTTGGGGATAAGAGTCTCATGGACTTTCCTGCCTAGTCTGGCTTTGAACTGCCATCCTCAGATCTCAGCCTCTTGAGTAGTTAGGATTACAGGCATGAGCCATCAGCACCTGACTATAGTTTGATATTTTGTGGCGCTATTGTAATCTGGATTTCAGATTTTCAGTAGACTGAAAAACAATGCCAGGTAAATAGCAATTATCAGTGCATGTTCTGGCAGCCTGATATTCAAAGCACTCTATAAGATACAATGACAAATATCAAAAGCCAGTTAATATATTTCTGTGTGTAAGGGATTAACAGTGCTATATCCTTTCAAGCTTTTATTTCAGTTAAAATGCCACCTGCAAAAAGAATATGGGGCTAAATGTCAAAGAGAAAACCACACCATCTTTGCATGTTATTAATTCATGCTTGCTACAAGAACAATAGTATGATGCTTCGTCTCTTAGCGCCCCTCACCCCATTGTAAATCTTTAAATGGTGCTTATATTAGCTTCTCTAAGCATTCTGAAATGTCTTCTGAAAGCATACCTGATCTAAATGCTGCTTCGAAATAGTCATTAGTTTATTATTAAATGATTATTAAAATAATACTTATTATTATTTATGTTTGACTATAGCTTGAACTCAGGGCACTGTCCCTTAGCTCAAGGCTGGCACTCTACCACTTGAACCACAGCTCCACTTCTAATTTTTTGCTGGTTAATTAGAAATAAGAGCTTTATGGACTTTTCTGCTTGGGGTTGACTTTCAACTACCATCTGATGTCATCCTCCTGAGCGACTTAAGATTGTAAGTGTGAGTCACTGAAGCCTGGCTTAATAGTGGACGTTTTAAAGAATGGGAAATGGTGTTAATGGAGTTAATCTTATGTAATTTCAGTGTGGCTTGTCAGGAAGGAAAATGGACTCTAATCTTCTTAAGTGCTTTATTTTTCTCAGCAGTTTGGAGACAGGAGTTAATTTATTCTACTCTCGTGGAGGACCTGATGTGGATAGGCCCTCTCTTACTAAAGAAATACTTTACTCATGGGAAGTAGTCAAGGTAGCCATGAAATTACTTCAACTTGGACATTGGAACATATAAAACAGATGTTATAGCAACAGATCTTTTTACTATAAGATTCCTTAATAAACATCCTACTCAACTACAAATGTAGAAATAAAATCTCCATTAAAAGAAGGAAATGTAACGAGGGAATCAATACAAGAGTTATTTGGGCTAGGTGCCTGTGGCTGATGCCTGTAATCCTCGTTATTCAGGAGGCTGAGATATGAGGATCGCAGAAGCTAG